GCTCGGACGCTTTTCATTTGGGACCCGGCTCTTTCCTTTCGTTTAAGAGTCTGATTCTGCGCCACAGTTAATTTTGGGTTTGTCTCTTTGGTAGAAAACTTTGAACCTTTAATGGTTTCATCCTGATTAAATTCCTTAGATTCATCCTTTCCTTTGAGATCAGTTCTACGGGCACTTCCTACCCGCCAATAAGGACTCCTCCACGCCAACGGCATACGAGAACTTCCAGTACGCCTGCCTCTCACCTGAGAGACTGATCGTCAATCTAGATCGATTCTTCCCCGTTTAGTCAAGATCATCATCATCATTCTGCAGCTCGCGATTAAGCCCCCCGTCCCCCCTCAACAGCTCTGCGCCTCCTCAGCGGCCACAAAACAGGAAACTAATGAAAGGTGAGAGCGCTCCAACTTCTGGTTTGACCATAAAATGACCGCGCAGTCTCTCTCACACTCACACACACACACACACACACACAAACACACACACACACACACAGAGAGGAAGGGGTGTAGATGAGGGTCGTATTGGGGAGACTGACAGAGGTCAAGACTGATAACACAGAACAATGACCTGACCCGGTCACTGTACATGTGTGTGTATCTGTGATGAAGTCAAATCTATTTATTACAAGTGTGTGTGAGTTTGAACCACATTGACACCCCCTCCCAAAAGCAACCCCCCCCCCCCCCCCCCAATTCCTGACCCCTACTTGACCGGCGAATCGGGGCGCCAAACAACTCTGTTGCCATGAACCCTGCCTGGACCGCTGTCACGGGGAAAAGGCCGGCCGGCCGCAGACAGGACAGGAAGTTGAGACAGGGGCCGAGAAACACACACACACACACACACACACACACACACACACAGACCTCTCCCACATAAATAATAGCGTGAACCCATAAATCTGCGTATATGGAAGCACATATTTCGAGCAGTAGCCATTTTTCTTGCCGCGTTATCTTAAAACGCAGCCGGCCGCTGCGCTACAACCCTTTGTGTGCGGTCAGATAAGGGTCTTTAGGGGGTCTGGCGGTCGTCCCCCGCCAGCAATACTTATCCCACTGACCCCGCGCTGCGCCTCCTCCCCCTGAGCCTCCAGCGCACATGGGGAGGATGACAATGTCTTCAGACTCCTCCACTAACACACTGACTGTAGCACTTACACTGTACTTATGACGCCACTCATCTATAGCAAATTGTAAATTGGCTTATTTGATGAATTTGCACTTTCTCGCTCCTCTGAGTTTGCAGCCTCATGGTTGAAATGCACAGATTGTAAATGTGATGTAGTAATAAAGAGGAACTAAGAGGAAGAGGGAGAGGAGCTTCATCACCATCTCCGCTCCGGAGGTCGCAGAGTTTGAACTTTCCACGTGGACTGCGGAGCGAGTCGATGCCCACGCGGCGCCGTCGCATAGTAACACGCGGCGCCGCCCCCCCCCGGTCCGCGGAGGACGGACAAAAGACGAAAACGCTGTCACAGCACTTTTGTGCGTCCACTAAAAGCTGCGTCTGAACATCCTCCCTCCCGCCCTCCCCCCCTCTCCCCCTCTATGGGTCGGCGGGCGAGCATTTAGATGTCCGTCTGCTGCTCATCCTCCCTTCGGCCTCTTTCTTCTCCGCTCATCGCACTCTTTCACCCCGCTATTCATCCCCCCCTTCTGTGAGCGGTCAAACGGATGAAGGGAAGTGTCAGCCTCCCGAGGAGAGAGAGAGAGAGAGACGGAGGGAGAAACACGGGGGAGAGGGGGAGACCACCCTGTACGTCCGATTCACTCGCCGTATCACTTTCACCTGACTGCACTCTTTCATTCTCCATCCCTCGCTTTCTGCTCCGCTCAGTCAACGTTTTCACGCATTCACGCCGTTGCTTTCTCTCTCCGGGGCGAGTTCTCAACGCCGCCGGAACGCTCCCCCCCCCCCCCCCCGTCGTCCTTCCTTTAGATCCATTCTCCAATTTCCCTGCCTCATTTTCGCCTCCCACAGCCCCTCCCGTCCCCGTCCTCGTCCTCCGGGCCGAGGAGTCGCGAGGTCAAAGGTCGCCGATGGGCCCCCGACGCACACCCCGGCCCCCCGCCACACAAGCAGCCGTCCCGGTGAGGTAGCGACGGTAGCCGGCCCGTCTCCTCCTGTCCTCGTTCTCACCCCCGGCTCCCCTTCTCCCGGGCCCTCCACTTTCTCCTCCCCGCAGGCGGGGGTGTGCATTTCGGGACAGCCTGAACCCTGGACCAAACCTCGGGGGCCATAAATCACGCCGACAGACTGCGAGCTTCGCGGTAGCCGGAATCAAACCCCCATTCATCCTCGTTTCCAGAGAGGAACGGAACCGTGGCAGGTGCCAGACCGAGGAGAGCGTGTCGCAGACTGGAGATCACCCAGAACCAGAGAGGGAGAGAGAGAGAGAGGGGGAGAGAGAGAGCACCAACGAGCAGGTTCTGAGGGAGAACAATGGGATGTGGAGGTGATGATAACCGGGAGGAATGCATCGTTTCTCTCTAGCGGGGAGGAAGCGAACTGGCATGTGCACTCACGTCGGGAACAATGAAGCAGCCGACGCGCTGACAGACTCGAGCGAAGGCTTCCTGCAAGCGCGCCGACGGACGACCCGCCTCCCCGCAAATGGCTCTGCGTACTGTGTGAGAACGGGAGCAACCTTTGGATTCGCATCTCTAGTGGACTTATTCTGTAACTGCTGCGGTTTAATACGTATCCAACGGGACCATTCGGGTCATTTAGAGCGTATAGTTGGAGGTTTTACCGTTCTAAATCAAAGCAGATCCAACGTCTTAAATAAGTGAGACATCAACGAAAATAATGAACTGGGAATGTGAAGCCGTGAGGAGCGGAATGAAGAAAATAGGAGCGGTGAAGAAGAGAAAAGGGGAGGAGTCAAGGGAATTCAGAGAAAGGAGGATGTGGATATGGTGAGAACAGAAGATGGAGAGATGATGAACATGTTGAGGGGGGAAAAAAGAAGAGGGATATAAAATAAAGAGGTGACAGAAACAAAAGAACCAAACCGTTAAAAGTTCAAAAAACATGAGACTTTAAGAAAATAAAAAGACTGGAAAAGGCGTGTGGAGGGGACACACACACACACACACACACACGCCGAAGAATGCACGCCTGGCGTCTGAGCGAGTAGAGAAGGGGATGAGTTGAGCTCTACTGGGGCGCCACACCGCAAAACACAAAACACACACAATCACACACACACACACACACACACACAAGAGCCAGCCAAA